CAATAAAGAAGAAGATGTACATTAATCACTTGTAGTGTTTTAGTTTGTTTAGTTTTTAGTTTAGTTTATTGTGCTTTGTTTTTTATCTTTGAGGTGGGGCAGGGTAAGAAATTTTGCATTTTGTTTATGATACTGTTATCCTGTAAGCCTAGTCGATATTCACGCAGCTCACTCAAGGGATGGTGGATGGCACCGAGGGAACTCGCACTGAGCAGTGGGATTACTCACACGTTGATGAGTAAAGGCTCTCATGGATGTTGCTCATGTCAAAATTCTTGCTAGCCAGGCAGTTCTGCACTTGGGTAATCTCTAGACATGGCAGAAGGTCGATCTTTTCCTAATGGCTCTTTGATTTGGGCTAAATATTGGGAAGAGAATCCTTGAGTCCAGACTGGACAGAGGTCTGGACCAAAAAGATTTGGGACTTTTTTCTTGAACATTTTTTAAATTCTCATGGGTCAAGCGGTGCAGCTTCTTCCCTACTGGGCAAAAGAAGGGATTCCTGGGAAGTTAGGGATGGAGTGCATGTGGGGAAAGGGTCCTCGTGCTCCTGGGGAGCAGCGTTGGTTTCGGACCTCCTCTCACCCTGCTCGTGTGACTGCTGCTCTCTCTGCTGATAGCAAATCTTTATCCAGGAAGCAGGGCCTGCGGCCTGAAGTGAATCTGTTTCATAACAACCTACAAGATGCACTTGGAACAGAAGTGTTCCAAGAGCACAATTAGTACCGTGCCCTTTTCAGAAAAAGATCAGCACTTTGTAAAAGAAAGAACCCAAATAAAATACTCAACGTAAGCAAACAACAACAACAAAAAAAAAAACGTTCTCAAATTCAAAGTGTTCCCAAGTCATCTCGAGTTCACGAACCAGCCGCGCTGCTTGATGTCAGCGCGAGCCGGCGGAAGCCTGTGGCTCCACAGGAAGGAGGGCAGCCCTACCCGGCGCTCGGGCCGCCGCGCGGCCCTCAGCGTGAGGGGAGGAAGGGAGGCCGCCGCGTCCCGCGAGAGGGAAGCTGCTGCTGCTGCTGGAAAGGGAGCAAATAACCTCTTGCCTCATGCCACTTGGCCATGTGACCGCTTGCGGCAACTGTTGATTGTCCGTGAAGTCAAATACGAGAAAAAAATACTGTCCTGCAGTGTAAGGAGTTCACAGCCTCCACGTCAGGTCGTTGCTACTGACCTTTCCTCTAAAGGCAGTCATGGGAGCTAGTCCCGCTTGGAATAGGCTTTGCTGAGCAAGAGGAAGCGGGGAGAGGAATTCTTTTAAGACTGTGTGTGCACTTTATTCTCTTCTCATTGATTCCATATGATTTGGTTAATAATATGATGTCTCCTTCTGACTCTCTGAAAGTAACACTTAAATGCAGGAGGCAGTTAGAAGAAAATTGAGAGAGATCCTGGAAGTCCTGTCAATACTTATGTTAAGTGTGCTAGAAAACTCAAAACCATCTTGGAATCTCTTTGCAGTCATTTTGTTTTCCTATAGGAGAAATATTTTACTAGAGGCCCCATTCCATGAACATGGCACACGGAGAATACATAGCAATGCACAGAGACCCAAGGGGGTCTCTTCTCCCCATTCAATGCATTAGGTAACAACATCTGCTTGTTCTGTCTGCCCTTGATTCCACAGTGTTGAAGTGGATGAAGAAATAGGCCTACCTGGATGGATTGGGAAGGCTCCTGTGACCGGCTCTGGTGCCTCAAGTGCTTGGGCGATACCTGCCCCAGCTTTCTTTGTCTGACTCTGTATCTTCGAAGCCGACAAAATAATTAAGTGCTTGTGTTTTCTCCTGCCCCAGCTGCTTTCATCGCAGAGAGGTCATGGACATCTCACAGTGGCATTGCAAAGTTTTTTATAACAGAGATGATCAAAAACCCTGTCCTGCAGAGTTAGTTTGAGCTGAGCAATATTAAGAAGAATTTCTAGAAAGGGGGGTGTTTTAGTTCAATTAATTCTTATATTCTGATACTCCAGGGCTGGAAATGGCTTATGCCCTGCTTTGGTGACTTAGGTCTCATTAGTGGAATAGTCAAGGAAAAACTCAGCAGTGTCTTGGAGCTCAGGCTTTCTCCTTTTGTGGAGAGGTTGTCCATGAGGTGCTCCTACTTATTTTTGTAGGATGTTTGTATCATTTAATTTTTAGCTTATATTATCTTTGAGGAAATTTCGCTGTATTTCTACAGTGAAAAAAAATAGAGAAAAGCAACTTTGATCATTTCACTGCATTTAAATTGGTGTATATTTTAGTGATTTTTAAAGTGTGTTTGCCTTATTTACATTCTCTTGTGGCTCTTTGCAGTTTCTGTTGAACATGTTCTCTTGGAAATACTTTGGTTTTGTTTTGCTTAGTTTCCAAGACTCAGAAAGTATTTAGCTGGCTTTCTCACTTAAAAAAAAAATGATGATAGTTGTGATTCTTTGAGGAGAACATATATATATAAAATATTCCATTTAGGGATCCACCTATATAAAAAATAAAGAAGCTTATTATAAGCTTCTTTCTTCTTTCATTTTACTTGGTTGCTGTTTCTATTTATTGCTGGTTATTTTCATTTCCTTGGGAGCAAGCTGACCATTGGGAAGTAGGAAAAAAATAAGTAGACTGCTCTGTTCCACTGACTGAGTGACTGCTAAGTAGTATGCAGGTCCAGAAAAAGTGATCCATTAGGGAATGTGTGGTCTGTGGTATGCAGGTCTAGAAAAAGTGATCCATTAGGGAATGTGTTTTTAGGGAACTAATACTGCAAGTAAGAAATGGAGGACTTTTCCTAAAAGTGTGTTTATCTGTCTTTTTTTTTTCTTCCTTTGCAGAAATGCTGACTAGTCGTTACAGTATTACCCACGTAAAACAGAGCAGAGAAAGCTCTTGGTGGTTATAAAAGTAATCAAGGCATGGAATGCATAGGCATAGCAAAACCATGGTACACGTAATTTGTAATCAGTAAAACCTACCTGGCTTTAAAAAAGAATTTTAAAAAAAAAAGGAAAAAAAAGTTGGTCACATATGTGCAGCAGGAAAACAAAAATAAAATAAAAATAAAACCATAAACCTCAGAGTTCCTGAAAACGATTTGCTATTAACGTCAGTGTTTTTAGCAAACGCGATGATTTAGATCAAGCAAACATTCTTTTGACATCAGTGACGTGGCAGACTCGTGCTCAGAGAGATTTCCTGTTTACTTTGGGTCTGAGTGCAGAAGTCTCCAGAAAGTAGGTGCTAACGTTTTCACTGCGGATCTGCATGCAAGGGCAGCCCCAGCTGTTCTGAGGTTCACTGCAAGCTGGATATACATTTTTATTCTTCAGGGAGAAGGGGTAATGACAGTTTGGACATAAAAAGCTTATAAGATCAGAGATGTCTTGCTTTGCTGACATAAAAATAATGTTATTGCATAAGTTCATTTTTAATGAACTGTATATTTAACAGATTTGAAACCATTCTGTTCAGAGATTTATGGTTCAGTAGCCACTTGTTTAATATCTAAAAGATGTATAGTCCATGAAATCCGGGAGAAAAAAAAAGTGTTAAAAAAGGAAGGAAAAGAAAAGCACTGCTTCCTCTGTTTAATCCTGTAGTGAAGAAAATGATCAGCCCATAGTTATTTGGTAGCCTTGTGAGCTCCTGTCATACATTTCTTAATTGTCACTGAATTCCCTACCTGTGGCCCTAAAGGAAGAGCTGCTCACCCAGACCCCAGGAGCTCCCAGGGCAGGAGGGCATCGTGGTGAATTCACTGCTCAGTTCCATGCTGTCACTGTCTGTGAAATGGCTATTTTTTTCAAATCATGATTTCTGTGAATATCACAGTTAGAAAGAAATAGAGCTTTTTATAACATGTGTATGAGTTATACTTTTAAGTTTCAAGGTTATTTTTAATTTATATTTTTTAATTTATATTTTTTTCTGAAATGCAGAGAACTATTTCCCGTTTTCTTACATTATTTTTCTAATTAAAAAATACCTAGGATTTATATTAATTAAGTATTAATTATTTATATTAATAGCGTGTTGCAGCTGTTCTTACTGTTTTGAAAATATATCTGCATTAACTTCCATTCAGCTGTCCCCTGTGCAGAGAGTAAAGCAGCTTGTTACGAACCCATATTGCAACGGTAGTCTGGTCGAGATCATAAATAATTTTTAAGTTTTTGTGTTGTTTCACTTGGTGTGGTTGCATTTTAACAAGTCATGTCATAGATGTGAGCACTTGCTTTGTCACCATAAAATGACTGCTCAGCAAATCTGGAGACTCGAGTCCTGAGGACACTTCTGAACTCAGGTCAGCTCAGTTTTGCTGCCAGGGCGGGAGACCTCGTTTTACTCCCAAACGATACAAATCTGATGATAGTAGAAAAACACAGCCTGCATCAAACACACTAAGTGGATTTCATTTCTCTTTTGATCATCTCTGGAAAATGGAATTGCAGATTGTTTTTGTTAACTTCATTAGATTAGTATCCATTGAATATAAAATGTGTATTTCTATATATATTGTGGTATTAATGTGAAATAAAAAAATTAACATCTGGGCATGCTTTGCCTTTAGCTGATTGTGTGTTTAGTGATTCCCCGAGCATTACCTTAATCAGCTGGGCAAGAAATTCCCGCGTGTGGGAATTTACATTGGCACCAGAAACCAAAACGATGTCTTAGAGAGCAAGTTCATAACAGCAACACGCAGGAAAGAGGTTTTGAGGCAAAATAATGTGCAATATATCCTAGGAAAAGTGTAAAATTTTGCTTTCAGATAAAGGTGGGAGGGCAGAGAGGCCGGAGCGGCCCCGGCTGGGGCAGCGCGGAGGCGGAATGGGAATCCTCCGTGGCTGGGGACGTGCAGGGACCTGCAGTGCGGGCACGAGGGGCCCCAGGAGGTGTCAGCAGGGGCTTTGCATGGAGCAAGAAGGGAGAAGTGCCCCACCAGGCCTGCTTGTAAAAGGGGCTTCGCTCCTGTGTGACTGGTAATGCATTTGATGCCATGTTTAAATTTTGTTTCTGCAGGCAAAAGCTACTTCTCCGGAACACAAACGTTCCTGTCATCATGAACACCTACTTCAGTCAGAAGGTGCTACGTGGTGAATGCGTAGAGGGCAAAGAGAAGACACATGGCTCTGCAAAGCAGCTTATTAGGAAGAATATTGTATCTTTGGCACATGCATTTAGGTTAAATGACCCTGATGATCGACCCCAGGAATCTTCAGAAAACCAGGTGAGGTTCATTTTGTTTGAGCATTTTATAAGAAGTTAGTGAGCAGATGTTCGGAAATCATAATAAAAATTCTAAATGACTGACCTGCTCAGTTTCCCCTTTCATTTAGCCATAGCTGAATAATGTGATGTTTATTTAAATAATATTTTCTTAGCACAGGCTTTTGGCCCATCCACATGCTGGACTGCTGTGAAGTTATTTTGCTGAAGTCTCACTACCGTGCTAAGCAGTAATTCTAGCTTTTTTTTTTCATTTTTTCCTCTTATTCTTTGCAGATGAATAGCTGAGTTTTATTTGAAAGAAAATCCCTTTTCTATTAACTGACACAAGTTATTATTTTTAATAGATATTCGATTTCAATTCGCATTTCCTAATTCATTTCCTATTCCGTCCCTTCTTTAAGGTATCAGTTGGTGACCCCCCACCTTAAGTGTCTCCTTGTTTCCAATTTTCCCTATTGTGACTTTGTTTATATTAAAGTTACTATTGACTGTGAATGTCTTTAACTGTGGTTGTGCGAGCTGAGGTGTTTTGTGATTCTCTGTGCCAGCACTTTCTGAAACTAAAGGTCTTGTAAAGGTTTTATGTTGGCCACCCAAAATTATTCTTTGTGTTGGAGAAGTTTGGCCTAAGCGTTTAATGAACAATATTGAGTCTCAACATTTTCTGTTTGCCTTAAAGGTAGTTCTCCCTGTAGGCCTGGGAATTATACGGTTAAATAAATCAAGCCTAGCCTTATTTCTGCAACCACTGCACCTTTTAAACGGCTTCTACTTTGGTATGCCGCAGCCAGTGTAAATTACTGGTTCAAATCCTATTTCCTACCAAACAAAACCCCTTCGTCTGAAACTCTGTGGACAAGTCAGTTGTAACAGCTTTGTGGACAAGAGGCCGCATACACAGCACCAGCATTTTCTTTTAAATGCTGTAAATGTCCTTCTGAACTGGTGCACAGAGGTTGTGCCAAGCTCTCCATTCCTCTCAGAACTCTTCTTGGCACCCAGCTTTTGGAACAAACAGGATTCACTGTGGAAATGGAAGTTTGGCCTGAGTTGGGAAGGAGCCTATGTGATAGACCATGTGATACCAATTTTACTAAAGGAGAGATTTTTTAGAAATGAAAAATGATGAATAATAAACTAAGGCAATACATATCATAATTCTATTCATAGAATTTATTTGTGGAAATAGCAAAAGAATAGGAAGAGAGTAAGGTTTTCTACTTTTCATTAATCGTCTGATTCTTTTGTTTTGAAACTTGTAAGTTGAGAGACTAAATTAAATTACTATCCTATAAAACCAGGCACGTATCTACTTTCACCTCCATCTGAAGGCTGGAGCATTGAACATGGATTTTCCCCTTTTCAGGAAAGGAAGGATCAGACTATCTTTGAAGTAAAAAGGAAACCCTGGCCAAGGAGAAAAATGATAAGTGCTAATAAGTGCTGCTTTCTTCCTGGCGTAGACCCTATTTCTCACGGTTTCATTTAGTTCAGTCCAGGGCAGCAGTTTCACACAGGAGAGCACCAAGTGCTGAACTCTCACGAGCGTTCATTAAAAATCCCAATAAATGTGGGACGTTAGTATGTAGGTTAATTTATATATAGTATTTTGAAACTACCCCTCCTTGGGGGTCATTTTTGGTGTTGAAGTTTTACTCTTCAGTGGTACATGATTTCGGAGCCCCATGAAATGTTTCTGTCCGTGACTTTTCCTTCCGCAGGTTGCGCGTGCCGCAGGGAGCACCCAGACCAGCACCAAGTGTGGTTCCAAAGAGCAGCCCTCGGCCCTCAGTGCCGTTAACGACTCCCTGCTGGAAATGGTGGAAAGCCAGGGAGCCGCGGGCTGGCGGGACGTGCAGGTGCGGGTGGCTGTCCAGAGGGTCTACTGCTTGCCCGCCAGAGAAGCTCTCACATGCCAGGCTCAAGAAAACCAGTCTGCTCATGCGGCATCCATCACAAACCCACACCACCCCAGGGTTAGGTGAGTAAAGAGATACCTGGGAATTCTGCTGTGGCAGGTGAGAAACCCAAGGAGGGAATCTGGCCCTGCTGTCCTTGGTCCTCTTTCAGCAGGGCTAAGCACACACCACGAAGTGAAGGCTCCTGATGGTGATGGTGCATTTTTTCAGTCATGTTACTGTGATTTACAGTTCCCAGAGAAGGGAAGGCCTTGTGTTCCTGCCTGCAGCTCATGGGTTGTAGCAACAGATGACAAAAGGTGGAAAACGAATTAGGGGGAAGTTAATTTAAAACCATCGATGACTGTGGATGTTTACTATTACTTGAGAGTCTCCGATTACTGGTACATGAACCGCTTCCCATTTACCTAGTTCAGCCTCCAATGTGCTCTGCGAGTAACTTGTGCTCACAGAGTGCTCTTTGGAGACAGAAGGGGAGTATATGCAGAGGTGGAGAAAATAAAGCAGGAAAGACATGCCAGGCAGTTCTCCCTCCGAGCAGCCCTGTCGAGTCCTTTCCTTTTCCTTTCATTCCTCCAGGTTTGAGGCCAAAGGCTGATTGCAGAGCCTTTGTCAGCAGCTCTGGGGTTAAGGCTGCCGTGGGGGTTCCTGAGCCCTTCCTTCAGGCTTGTGCTAGCTCTGGTTCTGTTGAGGCAGAATCACTCAGGTCCGTTACCGCAGTCAGTTCCAGCCTTCGTTCGGGGTTCCCAGTACGGCTCTGCAGAACATGAGGAGATTCGCAATTCCTTTGCTGTTTATGGCCCCCAGTTACTTTAAGGAAGGGCTGCGCTGAGAATTCTATAGGTCCTTGCAGCATGGACCTGCTAGGCTTTAAAGGGATTCCTCAAAGACAAGGAGGATCCGAGTTCCTCCAAGCTCCCTGCTGCTGGCAATAACATGCGTACACGGCCCTCTTCCCGAGTGTTGGAAATCCTGGAATTCTCCCGGCTCGTGCTGCCTCATGTCCCACTGGATAACTTACAGCAGTGATGGGTCAGTGATCTGCCTCCCCATGCACTTAGGAGGGTTATTTCCTAAAATGCATAGCCAGTCACCCACAGAAAATTAATTAATAACACCCTTGTCACTGTTATTTTATAAAAAATCATTTACATATATGGAGTTTGTATTGAGTTTAACTTAAACTAGTTTTTGAAAACCTGTTGATACGTTTTGTTGTGTGGACTCATTGCTTTTATGTCGATTAGCTATTTCTCACTATTATAAAACCACCAGGGAAGGTCCTTTATCGATCAGCACCAGTGCAATCAGCTCCCAGTGCTCCTGGAGCTCCAGACGACGGGGTTGTTCTGGGTGTCCAGATTTTCCTTTCAGGGGGCTACAGGTGCTCAAGCCAGCCCAGGTGGCAGCCTCTAATTCAAACTGATGTTACCTCCATCAGTCCTAGCCAGTTCCAAGGGCAGCCTCCTCTCCACGTCTCCCTTTAAGCTCCTCATCCCAGCTGCTACGTAACTTGAAATCCCAGAGATCCAGGTAGTTGGTTGACAGCAGTGGGGAAGCTAACAGAAAGCTCAAGATGGCATTTCTTAATCCAACTTGAAAGAGAACTAGAATTAAAACAGGAAGGTCCTTTGCTTCTGAGTGCATGCAGTCAGGGGTAATCTCCTGTGCAGTTCTTAAATCTTGGGGGTACCTCAGATTTTATAGATGTTCCAGCTCAGAAAGCGAGCTTGCCATTCTCAGCTCCCAACCTGTGCTTTGGATCTGCCTTCTCCGATGAGAAAAATCAGCCCATGATCTTGTTTTGAAAAGGAGGGAGCAGCTCTTTGAAAGAGGGAGGGTTGGTGAACACCGAGTGCCGCTTCATCACCTGCCGTGCTCGTGGCTGAGGAGCATCCGTGTGAGATCCCATCATCCATGGAAAATACCCTGCCACCTGATAGGGAGTGAATAGGTCCAGCACCTTCTGGCAGTGCTCTGAACCCCCTGAAGGACTGCTCTTTTGTAAAGCAAATTGTGAGCTACTTTCTGTAAAACACAACTGCCATGAGAACAACACTTGTGTTTCGGGAGGTGGAGTGAGTGAGAGAATCCATTGATTTGGGAACAAAATTTTCCAATTAGTTACAAGGCAGATGAATAGTTAATTTGTTTGTATTTTAGACGGGCTGTTTCATTGCGTGTCGTTTCTTATAACACTCCACAATAGCTTAGATGTAGTTGCCAAGCAAAGCATAAAAGCACAGTAGAATGAAAGAGGCTTGAAATTAAATATGGAACAGCGAAAGTGATGTGTTTTGTTCGAGGCATCCAGTTTCTAGAAGGAGACTGGCAAATTGTGGGAGAAACCTTGGGAAATTGATTTATTGAATTATTTAAAGTGGGGTAAAGTGCTAGAAATTACCTGTATCTAGCCCCTATAGCTTGTAAAGATAAATGTATAGAATGCTGCAAGAAAATATGATGTTTTAAAGTCTATTTAGTTGAAGTCTGCTTTCTTAGGATGATGAAAGACCATTACAGAGATCAAAATGTTCTCCAGCTTCCGTCATCCTTAAATTATTCTCACATTCCCCATGTTATTGTCAAATCATTTGCTTTTTCCCTTAGCAATCAAGTGTTCTCACAAATGAACTTTTCATGCTAAGAGTTTCAAGGAGAAAAAAAAAAAGATAGGAAATACAACTTGCCATGACTATCTGCCCCTTCCCAGCATTCCTGGTATACTTTTTGCTGCCTTTTCCCCTCTCATCAGAGAGACTTTTACACATGATCCAACATATTTTTGTCTAAAAGTGAATATTTTGACTCTTTGGAAAGAGCCCTGACTCTACATGCACCAGTCCAAAAGCCTCCTGTCAACCTGCGGAGCTTTCTGGCGTTGAGGTGTCTGACTCACTGTGTCGACCTTGTACTTTGTGTTCCAGGGATAAAGCAGTGTATAATTTGGATTTTGCTTTTGCCAGTATCTGTTTGTTTTGAGTGGGCCACGTGAGTTCAGCAAAAAATAGCGTTGGTCAGTTTTATTCCTTAAAGGAGAGGGATCATTGTGTGGTAGCTGCTGAAACTAAAACAGACACATTTTTTAGCACGATTAGGCAGTTAAACCAGTCAGGAGGCTCAAAAGATTTGGGTTAGGAAGCTGGAGAGAGAAGGGTGTTGTCTATGAAGAAAGAAAAGCTAAGCAGTTCTAAAGGAAGACAATGCTAGCGAGGGCTGTGAATACACATTCTAAAATCTCTGTGGGTGAGGAAAGAAACTTTCCACTCGCTTCTCTTGGCATATTGCTTTGACCTACTTCCCACCTGAATGTTAGCACTGTGGCCCACAATAATATTCTATACCAAGATCAAAGGGAAGGCACCGCATTTACTTTCAAAAATAATGTAATCAGGCTCCCCCCTCCTCTCTTGGTCTTGGTCTTTTGGTTTTACTCTCTATTTTGTTTGCTGTTTGCCAGATCGTAGGGAAACAGACAGGCCAGCTACCATGCGAGCAGGACCCTGGGGGAAGCAAATATGTAGAGCAGCCAAGCGTTTGTTTGAGTGGCTGCAAGAAATGGCTGCATGGGGAAAGTAGCACTTCTATTTTTGAATAGGGCCACAGAAACACTGCAGCCAGTAGCTGGGATTCATGGTGCAAGTTACTGCAAACTTCTGTGTACTCCCTGCCTAGGTAATTCCATGTAAAAAGGTTTTATTGGCAAGCAGTAATCCTGCAGGACTGATTCATTTCAAAAGAGAGTTTCCTTTTTCCTCTCTTTCTTCACCTAACACTGCTCACTCCTTACCTGACTGCAAAGCAGCCAGCGTGTCAACCTGTCTGGCAGCATTCACCAGTAAAAGTTGAGTGTCAGGTGCTCCAACTGGCATTTCAGGTAGGTGCACTGGTGTGTCGAGAAGTCATGCTTGTGGTGAGCAGAACTCGGCTTACGTTTTGTAAGGCATATTTAAAAATAAAACAGTGGAGGTTTTGTTTTTTGAAAAAAGCCCACGTTGGAGAGGGCTGCCATAAAGATCCCCGTTCACAGATGCTAACATCTGTCAGAATGTTTTTTGTGGCCGACTTAAATCTGTTTACAGCATTCCATTTGTTTTTTGTGTTTTTCAACAAAACATTTTAAATGGAATGGTCATAAATGTAAGTTTTTAAAAATTACATTATGTTCTTGGGATGTGATTCTTCAAGTGGGAAATAAACAGGAAATAGGTAACTGAAGTGCACTAGAGAGTACTCCATACACTAGAAATTTTCTGATTTCCCCTTTTCAGATCCTTCTCAGAAGTGAAAATATGTGCTTTGAATATCCCTGCAAAGTCATCTAATTGCTACTTGTAGGGCTGGTAACAGTTCTCCTAGCAGCTCTGCTTCTCCAGATCTGCTAACCTGTTCCTGCTTCGAAGCCTCTTCTCTTTTCTTTCCCTGAACCCAGTTGAGACTCCCTGACACTGGGATTATTCCCTTTTGCCTCCACCCTGCTCTTTTTGTAATTCTCAAACTGGGGCACCAAAACACAGACCAACAAACGACTGTTGGAAAAAAAAAAAGCCGCTTCGAAATCACTGTCCAGGTGCGACATTAAACACCATTATATATTTTACATCGGAGATTCCCTGTGTCATTGCCCTCATAGCCCTGAAAATCTGTTTCGCTGCTGCTGCAGATGGAAAGGTGGAACTTGGGCTTCTTCCAGCACCACTGTAGTACAACAGTTTGTTAGTGTGACGTTCCCGTTTATTTTTCAGTGCTAAATATTTACATAATCTGAGTCTGGGGGCAAGGTGAAAGCACTGTTATCTGATAGACGCAGTACAGGGGGGAAAAAGGTTCCCCCAACATATGTCACTGGCTTTAGACCCTGTGCTGCAATTAGACAGTTAAATATAAAGGGTTTCTTTCTTCCCTTCCCTTCCCTTCCCTTCCCTTCCCTTCCCTTCCCT